TATTCACATATCTGCAAGCTTTACATGAACATATACCACTGATTCAATTTTATCAGTTTAATTCATGTAAAATTTTATCTAAATAAAATTTAGATTATTTTATATATTTTATCTAAAATAGGGTACAAATAATACATCAAGCTATGTTTTTATAACATAAAATCAGTAATGGATAAGAACCATTTATAGGAGCTCCAACACACAAAGCACAGGATGTGTCCATCTTTCATGAACTTATCTTAAACAGATCTCAAAAAATCTTCCTCCCATCCTGTCTTTTGCCACTCCAGGCAACCAACATTGTCACTTCCTTGCATAACTTCGACAGATATTTTACATATATACCAGCAAGCATGTATAAATAACCTATTCCTCCTTTTTCTACACAAATGCAAGCCCATTCCATACATACTCCTATGCATTTAAACATTTGAGGAAACTTTTTATAAAATATAAAATAAACATAGAAAAAAATACACAAATAAAAATGTACAGCCTTAAGAATTTTCTGAGTGAACACACGTATGTAACCAGCACACAAAATAAACTAAACGTTACCAGTACCCCAGAAACTGCCCGCATATCCCCTTTGCAGATAAAGAGTAACTGGAGTAAAAGAGTATTCTGTCTTTTAACATTCTAGATTAATTTTGACTGTTTATTTTTCATTTATACAAATGAAATTATGTAGTATATAATTTTACAGATTTTTAAAATCAGTGAGATTCATCCAGGTTGCACGATGCAATTATCATAACTGTATGGTATGCCATTGTGTGAAAATACCAACATTTACTTAAAGCACTTGTAATAATGAGCAGTTCTTAATTTTAATGGAGTTTAATCAATTTTCTCCTTTATATTTCTTATATGCTCAGAGCTTTTCGTATACTGAATAAGATTTTCTCTACTTCAAGGTCATGAGAATACTCTTCTATCCTTTCTTATAAATGCTTTATTGTTTCATGTTTTCATTTACAATACATATGCAACCGATTTTGGCATACATTGTAATGGTTAAAATTCATTTTTATTAGTATGAAGATAGAAGAATTTCAAAAGTCATGGTTAGAAGAAACTTACTACCTACTTTGCAAAAGATTATAGCTTTACAGACTACTCATAAATTGTAGGAAAAAATGTAGGGTCCAGCCCTACGGGGCCTGTGGGTTTTCTCTGTGTGTGCAGAGATGAGAGATCACAGAAATAAAGACACAAGACGAGATAAGAGAAAAGACAGCTGGGCCCGGTGGACCACCAAGACGCAGAGATGGGTAGTGGCCCCGAACGCTTGCACTCGCTGCTATTTACTGTGTTCTAGGCAAGCGGGCAGGGTAAGAAGTGTAAGTCATCTCAAATGACTGATAAGGTTATGCGAGTCATGTGTGCATCTGACAGGGGGCCTTTCCCTTTAAGGTAGCCGAAGCGGGGAGGAAGGACAGCGTCCGTCAGCATTTCTTGTATGCACTTCACAGAAAGATCAAAAGACTTCAATAGTTTTACTAATTCCGCTACTCCTGGAGGAACCAGGTATACAGGTGGAACGTGAACGTGGACAAGGAGCGTGACCACTGAAGCACAGCACCACAGAGAGAGGTTTAAGCCTCTGGATGACAGTGGGCAGGCCTGGCTAACGTCAGGCCTCCCACAAGAGGTGGTGGAGCAGAGTGTTCTCGAACTCCCCCAGGTAAAGGGGGACCCCCTCTCCCAGTCTGCTAAGTACTGGGTGCCTTCCCAGGCACCGGCGCTACCGCTAGACCAAGGAGCCCTCAAGCAGCCCTTATCTGGGCGTGACAGAGGACTCACACTCTTGTCTTCTGCTCAGTGTCCCTTCAGCTCCTAATTCTGTAAGGCCTGGTATTTCCTTAGGTTATAACTATAGAACTGAGATTATTATAATAATAAAACAAAGAGTAACACTACAAGCTAATGATTTATAATATTCATATATAATCATATCTCTATCCTATTTCTAACATAACTTTTATTATTCTGATTATTTTCTTTCTGATACTGGAACAGCTTGTGCCTTCGGTCTCCTGCCTCGGCACCTGGTTGGCGTGCCTCCCACAAAAAAAGATTTCACAATGTTTTATATTGCACATAACTACCTTACATTTTATGAATGAGCAATGCAAAATATTGCATGCAAAAGAAGGGGCCTACCATATGCATGTATTTTAGAATCAAGAGCAAAGCACTCATGTATATACTCACTACCCGGGAGCTTTGTAAGTGCAATTGCAACTGTATCTCGCTGAATCTCCCATGAAAGGTCATCAGCATTCTTAGTGTTATACCCTTACATGTCTTTATTTTTACCTCTAATGTATACATGCCAAAATAAATCACTGATTTTTTTTACCAGTTTATAAACTTCATATAAACAGTATCTTCTTATTTCATCCAACATTATGCTTTTTTGATGCCCTTTTTTTTTTTTTGTGTCTGATCAGAAGTTAATGGATTTTTTCCTTTATTCTCCTTTTTCTTTTTCTTTTTCTTTTTTTTTTTGAGACAGAGCACTCACTGCATCCTCCATCTCCTGGGCTCAAGCATTTCTGATACCAAAACCAGCGAGGAAGGAAGGGAGGGATTCAGGGAGGGAACTAACTGACTACAGAGGAATATCTCCTGTACAGATGCAAAAATCCTCAACGAAATACTAGAAAACCAAACCCAACAACATGTAAAAACTGAGATTTATCCCAGGAATACAAAGGTGGTTTAACATATAAAAATGAATCGATGTAATTGGCCTGGTTTGAACATCTGTCCCCTCCAAATCTCATGTTGAAATTTCATTCCCAGCGTTGGAGGTGGGGTGCCTAGTGGGAGTTATGTGGGTCATGGGGCGGATCCCTTACAAATAAATTAATGCCCTTCCTCGGGGATGAACTGAGTTCTCATTCTACTAGTTCACTGAGAAAGAACTGGTTGTTAAAAAAAGAGCATGGCACCACCCTGTCTGTCTTGCCTCCTCCTACCGTAAGACCTCTGCAAAAGCTGGCTCCGCTTCACCTTCCACCATGGGTAGAAACACCCTGAGGCTCAAACCAGGTACAGACACCTGTTCTCGAACTTTCAAGTCATCCTGAATCATGAGCAAAAGAAACCTTTTTCATTATAAATTACCTAGCCCAAGGTATTCCTTTATAGCAACACTAAATGGACTCAAGGCTACTGGATATGATATTAATAATACACCGTATTAACAGACTACAAGAAAAAAACTCTATGATCATCTCAATCGATGGAGAAAAAGCATTCGACAAGTTCTAACATCCTTTCATGCTAAAAACACTCAATGAACTGGGAGTGGAAGAGGACCTCTTCAACTGATAGAGGCATCTGTGAAAACCCCACAGGTAATTTCATCCTTA